ATCGAGTCTCGGGCAAGTAACGTACCGATTGACAAAGGGAATTGTATACGGGGTTGCTTAAATCCTCGACATCGTGGTTCATCCGATGAGATCATCGAGGAGCATGTGGGAGCCAACATGGGTATCCAGATCCCGCTGTTGGTTATTGACCGGAGAGGCGTCTCGGTCATGTCTGCATGTCTCCTGAACCCGTAGGGTCTACACACTTAAGGTTCGGTGACGCTAGGGTTGTATAGATATGAGTATGCAGTAACCTGAAAGTTGTTCGGAGTCCCGGATGAGATCTCGGACGTCACGAGGAGTTACGGAATGGTCCGGAGGTAAAGAATTATATATAAGAAGTCAGGTTTCGGCCATCGGGAAAGTTTTGGGGGTCACTGGTATTGTACCAGGACCACCGGAAGGGTCCCGGGGGTACACCGGGTGGGGCCACCTATACCGGAGGGGCCCATGGGCTGAAGTGGGAGGGGAACCAGCCCCTGGTGGGCTGGTGCGCCCCCCTTGGCCCCCCCTGCGCCTAGGGTTGGAAACCCTAGGGGTGGGGGCGCCTCCACTTGCCTTGGGGGGCAAGCCACCCCCTTGGCCGCCCCCCTAGGAGACTGCATCTCCTAGGGCCGGCGCCCCCCTAGGGGCCCTATATAAAGAGGGGGGAGGGAGGGCAGCCGCACCCATGCCCTTGGCGCCTCCCTCTCCCTCTGCTACACCTCTCCCTCTCGCAGACGCTTGGCGAAGCCCTGCCGAGATCGCTGCTGCATCCACCACCACGCCGTCGTGCTGCTGGATCTTCGTCAACCTCTCCTTCCCCCTTGCTGGATCAAGAAGGAGGAGACGTCTCCCTGACCGTACGGGTGTTGAACGCGGAGGTGCCGTCCGTTCGGCGCTAGGATCTCCGGTGATTTGGATCACAACAAGTACGACTCCCTCAACCCCGTTCTCTTGAACGCTTCCGCTCGATCTACAAGGGTATGTAGATGCACTCATCTCTCTCGTTGCTAGATGAACTCAAAGATTGATCTTGGTGAAACCGTAGGAAAATTTTTATTTTCTGCAATGTTCCCCAACAGTTTCGAGTCCGCTCAACAGATCGAGCGGCTGCGTCGAGGGCGGCAGGGTGGCCTTCCGCTATTGGTAATGCTCTCGCTCTGTCTCGAGTCTGCTCGGTAGTTCGGACGGCCGCGCTGAGAACGGCAAGGCAGCTCACATGGCGGCAAGCACACCCTGCCTACCGCTAAAGGATCCGTCCTTCAAAGCGTAGCGGTTTGGGTTTATGTGTCGGCGAGCCTATCCAGTAGGCGTAGGGTGGACGTACAGAGAAAGGTTGAACAGGGAAATAACATGCATCATACTAAAAGTACTGCAGAGTAATATTACACCAATTGTTGCTGCGGTTCTAACTAAAGATATGAATTGTCTTGGTCATGAACCTGCAGCGACAACAAGAAACGGGGCGTCTAGTCCCGGCGCTGGCCCTCCAGCCTCTGGATCCTGCTGATGTGGCTGATGATGGGCTCGATGTGCTCCTCGAGCACTGCAAGGTCCGCGTCGCCCGGCAAGCTATCCAACGAGGCATCAAAGTCGAGGCTGGGGTTCTAGTGTGCCAGCTTGGTGAGGACCTTGGTCATGGCGCCCTGGCAAAGCATCCGGGCCTCGTCGGCCAAGGAGCTTGCCCAATTGGAGTGAAGCCGCTCCAGAGCTCTAAGGACACTCTCAAAAAGATGGTCAGACTAGCGTTGGGGCTCAGATTCGGTTCCGGGGCGTACTTCACATCCGGCATCTTCATGTTGGCTAGTTGCTCAGTGATTATGTTGGCAATGGCTAAAAGGCGACCGATCCGAAGTTTCTCGCCATCAACCTGGTCTTTGAGATTGGCGGCCACATTCGCTCAGAGCTGCTCCTCCTCCGCCAGGCGCTGGGTCAGGGTCACCTCCTGGGTTTTGGCCTCCTTGAGCGCCCCCACAAGGCCTTCCAGCTTAAGCCTTAGGTCCTTGATGGTGTTGTTGGCGGTGGAAAGCTGCTCATCTCTGCTAAGGACCTCGGATTGTGCCTCGACCAGGGCCTCGTTGAGTGTGTTTTTTTCCGAGGACAGCTCTAGGGTTCGCTTCACCAGGCCGTCCCGCTCCGTCTCCAACTCCTTCACCTTGTTACCGTGGGCCAGGGCCTGGGCATCGAGCGCTTCCTTATGCTTATGCTCCAGCTCTTGGATACGCGCCGCGGCAAGCTTCTCGACCTCGTAATCCTTGCCGCGGAGTTTGGCGGCAAGCACCGCCTCGTGCGCGGCAATATCCTCATCATAGGAGTTCAGTGCGGCCTCGCGTTGGTGCCGGATGGCCTCGTCCTTGTCGGCCTGCGCCTTCGCCATCTCCTGGGCCTTCTTGATGTCGGACTGCTTGAAGATGAGCTCTTGTTTGCGCTTAGCCAGCTGCTTCTGGGCGGCCTTTAGCTCTTCATGGGCTTGGCAGAACCAGGCCTGCGCCTCGGCGACATGCTTCTCGAGGTCAGCCTCCGTCTTGTTCACCACCGCCTCCTTGGTCCTTGCCTGGTCCAGATGGGCGCGGTGGAGCGCCTGGAGCTTGTTGAAGTCGGTACTTATGGCCTGGAGGAGCCGCTCCTCTTGAGAGCGGCCACCAGAGCTCAGCTCGTCAACAACCTCGAGGCTAGCAGCGGCAAGCACATCGTCATCAAAAATTTCCCCCTCGGCGGGCGCTCCGGTGCTCGCTGTCCCTGGAAGATGGACGAACAAGTTGTCGCCCACCTTCAGGTACCTGCCTGAGCCTGAGGCATCGGAGGAGGAGGGTTGATTATCGACCACCTCCTCCTCGGCAGCAGCGCCCCTACCGACGTCCCGGCAGGCCCCTTGCCAGCCTCCTCCTCGGCAGCAGCACCCCTGCCGGTGTCCCCGGCGGGCCCCTTGCCGGTGTCCCCAGCAGGCCTTTTGTCGGCCTCCTCATCGGTGGCCTTGCCGGACTCCTCGGCAGACCCCGCGACAGCCTCTTCCGCATCCTTGGCGGCTTCCTCGGTGGTGGTCTTGGTGGCCTCAGCCTCTGCATCCTTGGTGATCTCCTTGATGGTGGCGTCAGTGGTCCCCTGGTCCACCGAGGGAACGCCTGGATACCAGCATGGAGGATGAGGCAGAGCCAAACCAAGGAGAAGAAAAAGAGAGGAGAAGAAAATGACAAAAATGGGGGGAGAATGGACTCACTTGTGTCAGGCTGAGGAGAGGTGGCCCCCTCCCCACCAACTTCCGGTGCCGGGATGGACCCGCCGGCACCTACATTTCCTTCCTCTTCCCTCGCGTGCATGGGCTCAGTGCTTGGCGCCCTTGCCGGCAACGCCCCACGAGGCGGCGTGGTTGATAGAGGCAGCGTGCTGGGGGTGGCCCCTAGTAGGTCCTCCTGCTGCCGTCCTTCTCCCGCGGCCACGACAAGGTCAGTGCTAAGAAGATCACCCTTCCCAGCACGCGTTGACAAGGAATAGGTGGTAAACTTACGCCGGGGGCTGAGTCGGGGGCTGCGCCGTGGGCTGCTGTCGTCCGGGCTGCTCTCCACCACCAGCGGTGCGCCTGGAGTGCCTGCTGGGGGCTGGCTGCTTGCCGAGGCCTTGGCCCTCTTCCTCACTCGATGGTCCAACGTCTCCGTGTCCCTGCCAAGACAAAACAAGTCAAGATAAGCAAATAGCTCTGGTGGGAAAGACGAGGATGATGGGGATAGGATGCTCACTCCTCGTAGTCCCACAAGATCCTCCGGCTCCTCGTAGGCAAGGCAAGCAAGTGGCCATGCTCTCAGACGAGGAGGACGTGCCAATCGTCATCGACATGGACGAGGCCAAACAGGCAGTGAAGGGCAAGCTCATCGTGGCTCGGGTGCTGTGCAGTACCCGGTGGACCACAACGCCGTCGTCAACAACTTGCGAGGGGCGTGGAGGCTCCATGGCACTACGGTCCCTCAACGGGTCACGATCAGCGATGGGCGCTTCGTCGTCACGTTCTCTGAGGAGGGGGACCGGCAGCGTGTTCTTCAAGCTGGGTCGTGGCACTACCAGAACGACGCGGTGCTCATCAAGGACTTCGACGGCGTGGGTAACCCTGTGGACGTGCGCCTAGATTCTTTAAGTATCTGGGTGCAAATTCATAGGTTGCCCATCATCCTCAAGACTGAAGACATGGAGTGGAAGCTTGGAAAGAAGCTCGGCACCGTCCTCGCCGTGTCGCACCGCAACAATCAAATCGTTGACGAGCATCTCCGTGTTTGTGTTCAGCACCCGGTGGAGAAGCCATTGAGGAAGAACGTCGACATAACCCCAAAAGGTAGCACCAAACCGATCCTTTTCGATGTCAAGTATGAGAAGCTGCCAAACTTCTATTTTTTCTGCGGAGTGGTGGGACACACGACAGAGAAGTTCTGCAGCATGCCCAAAGAGCTGCGGAAGGCGTCCTACTCCACCAACATAAGGGCGCCTCCGTATTGGGCCTTTGCTCCTAGACAAATCGATTTTGGGAAGAAGCCGGTGAAGGACAAGGTGATCACGGAGGTGGCCTCGGCGGTCAAAAGACTATACTTGTCTGCTACTGCAGATACGACTACGGCGTCAGCTTCGGTGGACGGTTCTGCTCCGGTTGCCACTGACGCACCAAACGCGTTGGAGCAGCTTGTGCTCGCTGGCGGGGGTACCAACAACTCCAACAATGGGCCCCCTGTTCAGTTTGCTACTAGAGGCCTGGAGGCGTCCAATGACATGGCTGGAGCACTCCTCAACACCAACTCAGGAGCTCCGGCTGGTCAAATGAGTGAGCTGATGGATAAGGGACCTGGGGAGCACCTCCACTCTAACCTGGGTGCTCCTGGGTCTCCTACTGCTGCTGCTATGGCGTCTATGCAGAAGCAGCCACAGATAGGGGATGTACAGCCTATGGATCAGGCGAAGGCTAAAGCTCATGGTGGTCGCGAGGGTGCTGCTGCTGATGGCGTACAGCAGCGTGCTCTGGCTACTGCTGGAGTCCAGCGATGGAAGAGGCTTCATCGATAAGAGCAGGAAGGAAGGAGATGGTGCAATCTGCATGTGCTAAACATGTGGTTTTTCGCATCCCCACGCCACCAAACAGCGGCAGCGAGCTCTCTAGTCGCAAGATGATTTTTGCTGCCATGCTTGAGAGTACGGCAGGTAGCAAGAGGCGATCCCCTGATGACCAAGACTTCGTGTTAAGCATGAATAGTACTAGTACTGAAAGTCTAGAGGTTAGGGATGCTATGGATGTGAGTATGAATTGTAAAAGAGTGTGTGTTGAGAGAGTTGGTACTAGAGTCGGCATAGATGGGTCTACTATTCATGTAACTGAAGAGGTAGATGGGGGAGTGGAGGTGGATCAGTGAAGGAAATATGCCCTAGAGGCAATAATAAAGTTATTATTTATTTCCTTATATCATGATAAATGTTTATTATTCATGCTAGAATTGTATTAACTGGAAACATAATACATGTGTGAATACATAGACAAACATAGTGTCACTAGTATGCCTCTACTTGACTAGCTCGTTTATCAAAGATGGTTATGTTTCCTAGCCATGGAGAAAAGAGTTCTCATTTGATTAACGGGATCACATCATTAGGAGAATGATGTGATTGACTTGACCCATTCCGTTAGCCTAGCACTTGATCGTTTAGTATATTGCTATTGCTTTCTTCATGACTTATACATGTTCCTGTAACTATGAGATTATGCAACTCCCATTTACCGGAGGAACACTTTGGGTGCTACCAAACATCACAACGTAACTGGGTGATTATAAAGGAGTACTACAGGTGTCTCCAAAGGTACATGTTGGGTTGGCGTATTTCGAGATTAGGTTTTGTCACTCCGATTGTCGGAGAGGTATCTCTGGGCCCTCTCGGTAATGCACATCACTATAAGCCTTGCAAGCAATGTAACTAATGAGTTAGTTACGGAATGATGCATTACGTAACGAGTAAAGAGACTTGCCACTAACGAGATTGAACTAGGTATTGGATACCGACGATCGAATCTCGGGCAAGTAACATACCGATGACAAAGGGAACAACGTATGTTGTTATGCGATTTGACCGATAAAGATCTTCGTAGAATATGTGGGAGCCAATATGAGCATCCAGGTTCCGCTATTGGTTATTGACCGAGAATAGTTCTAGGTCATGTCTACATTGTTCTCGAACCCGTAGGGTCCGCACGCTTAAGGTTTCGATGACAGTTATATTATGAGTTTATGAGTTTTGATGTACCGAAGGAGTTCGGAGTCCCGGATGAGATCAGGGACATGACGAGGAGTCTCGAAATGGTCGAGACGTAAAGATCGATATATTGGACGACTATATTCGGAGTTCGGAAAGGTTCCGAGTGATTCGGGTATTTTTCGAAGTACCGGAGAGTTACCGGAATTCGCCGGGGAGTATATGGGCCTTATTGGGCCATACGGGAATAGAGGAGAGAGGCCGAAAGGAAGGAGGCGCGCAGCCCCCCTCTGGTCCGAATTGGACAAGGGGTGCGGACCCCCTTTCCTTCCTCCTCTCCCCCTCTTTCCCCCTTCTCCTACTCCAACAAGGGAGATGGAATCCTACTAGGACTAGGGAGTCCTAGTAGGACTCCACACTTGGCGCGCCCCCTCCTAGGGCCGGCCTCCTCCCCCCTTGCTCCTTTATATACGGGGGCAGGGGGGCACCCCATGACACAAGTTGATCTATGGATCGTTCCTTAGCCGTGTGCGGTGCCCCCCTCCACCATATTCCACCTCAGTCATATCGTCGCGGAGTTTAGGCGAAGCCCTACGCCGGTAGAACATCATCATCGTCACCACACCGTCGTGCTGACGGAACTCATCCCCGAAGCTTTGCTGGATCGGAGCTCGGGGATCGTCATCGAGCTGAACGTGTGCTGAACTCGGAGGTGCCGTACGTTCGATACTTGGATCGGTCGGATTGTGAAGACGTACGACTACATCAACAGCGTTGTGCTAACGCTTCCGCTTACGGTCTACGAGGGTACGTGGACAACACTCTTCCCTCTCGTTGCTATGCCATCACCATGATCTTGCGTGTGCGTAGGTAAATTTTTGAAATTACTACGTTCCCCAACAGTGGCATCAGAGCCTGGTTTTATGCGTAGATGTCATATGCACGAGTAGAACACAAGTGAGTTGTGGGCGATATAAGTCATACTGCTTACCAGCATGTCATACTTTGGTTCAGCGGCATTGTGAGATGAAGCGGCCCGGACCGACATTACGCGTACGCTTACACGAGACTGGTTTCACCATTACGAGCACTCGTGCTTAAAGGTGGCTGGCGGGTGTCTGTCTCTCTCACTTTAGTTGAACTGAGTGTGGCTACGCCCGGTCCTTGCGAAGGTTAAAACAGCACTAACTTGACAAACTATCATTGTGGTTTTGATGCGTAGGTAAGAACGGTTCTTGCTCAGCCTGTAGCAACCACGTAAAATTTGCAACAACAAAGTAGAGGACGTCTAACTTGTTTTTGCAGGGCATGTTGTGATGTGATATGGTCAAAGACGTGATGCTATATTTTATTGTATGAGATGATCATGTTTTGTAACCGAAGTTATCGGCAACTGGCAGGAGCCATATGGTTGTCGCTTTATTGTATGAAATGCAAACGCCCTGTAATTGCTTTACTGTATCACTAAGCGGTAGCGATAGTCGTAGAAGCAATAGATGGCGTAACGATAACGATGCTACGATGGAGATCATGGTGTCGCGCCGATGACAATGGTGATCACGACGGTGCTTCGAAGATGGAGATCACAAGCACAAGATGATGATGGCCATATCATATCACTTATATTGATTGCATGTGATGTTTATCCTTTATGCATCTTATCTTGCTTTGATTGACGGTGACATTTTAAGATGATCTCTCACTTAAATTATCAAGAAGTGTTCTCCCTGAGTATGCACCGTTGCCAAAGTTCGTCGTGCCCAGACACCACGTGATGATCGGGTGTGATAAGCTCTACGTCCATCTACAACGGGTGCAAGCCAGTTTTTGCACACGCAGAATACTCAGGTTAAACTTGACGAGCCTAGCATATGCAGATATGGCCTCGGAACACAGAGACCAAAAGGTCGAACGTGAATCATATAGTAGATATGATCAACATAGTGATGTTCACCATTGAAAACTACTCCATCTCACGTGATGATCGGACATGGTTTAGTTGATTTGGATCACGTAATCACTTAGATGACTAGAGAGATGTCTGTCTAAGTGGGAGTTCTTAAGTAATATGATTAATTGAACTTAAATTTATCATGAACTTAGTCCTGGTAGTATTTTGTAAATTATGTTGTAGATCAATAGCTTGCGTTGTTGCTTTCATATGTTTATTTTGATATGTTCCTAGAGAAAATTGTGTTGAAAGATGTTAGTAGCAATGATGCGGATTGGATCCGTGATCTGAGGTTTATCCTCATTGCTGCACAGAAGAATTATGTCCTTAATGCACCGCTAGGCGACAGACCTATTGCAGGAGCAGATGCAGACGTTATGAATGTTTGGCTAGCTCAATATGATGACTACTTGATAGTTTTGTGCACCATGCTTTATGGCTTAGAATCGGGACTTCAAAGATGTTTTGAACATCATGGACCATATGAGATGTTCCAGGAATTGAAGTTAATATTTCAAGCAAATACCCGAGTTGAGAGATATGAAGTCTCCAACAAGTTCTATAGCTAAAAGATGGAGGAGAATCGCTCAACTAGTGAGCATGTGCTCAGATTGTCTGGATACTTCAATCGCTTGAATCAAGTGGGAGTTAATCTTCCAGATAAGATAGTGATTGACAGAATTATCTAGTCACCATCACTAAGTTACTAGAACTTCGTGATGAACTATAGTATGCAAGGGATGATGAAAAACGATTCCTGAGCTCTTCGTGATGTTGAAATCGACGAAGGTAGAAATCAAAAAGGAGCACCAAGTGTTGATGATTGACAAGACCGCTAGTTTCAAGAGAAGGGCAAAGGGAAAGAAAGGGAACTTCAAGTGGAAAGACAAGCAAGTTGTCACTCCTGCGAAGAAGCCCAAAGCTGGACCATAGCCTGAAACTGAGTGCTTACACTGCAAAGGAAATGGTCACTGGAAGCGGAAATGCCCTGAACATTTGGTGGATAAGAAGGATGGCAAAGTGAAAAAAGGTATATTTGATATACAGGTTCTTGATATGTGCCTTACTAGTGTTTATAGTAGCCCCTAAGTATTTGATACTTGTTCGGTTGCTAAGATTAGTAACTCGAAACAGGAGTTACAGAATAAACAGAGACTAGTTGAAAGGGAAGTGACGATGAGTGTTGGAAGTAGTTCCAAGATTGATATGATCATCATCGCACACTCCCTAAACTTTCGGGATAAGTGTTAAACCTAAATAAATGTTATTTAGCGTTTGCGTTGAGCATGAATATGATTTGATCATGTTTATTGCAATACAGTATTCATTTAAAGTCAGAGAATAATTGTTGTTCTGTTTACATGAATAAAACCTTCAATGGTCATACACCCAATGAAAATAGTTTATTGGATCTCGATCGTAGTGATACACATATTCATAATATTGATGCCAAGAGATGCAAAGTTAATAATGATAGTGCAACTTATTTGTGGCACTGCCGTTTGGGTCATATCGGTGTAAAGCGCATGAAGAAACTCCATAAAGATGGATTTTCGGAATCACTTGGTTATGAATCATTTGATGCTTGCGAACCGTGCCTTTTTGGCAAGATGACTAAAACTCCGTTCTTCGGAACAATGGAACGAGCAACAAACTTGTTGGAAATAATACATACTGATGTATGCAGACCAATGAGTATTAAGGCTCGTGGCGAGTATCGTTATTTTCTGACCTTCACAGATGATTTAAGCAGATATGGGTATATCTACTTGATGAAACATAAGTCTGAAATAGTTGAAAGGTTCAAAGAATTTCAGAGTGAAGTGGAAAATCATCGTAACAAGAAAATAAAGTTTCTGCGATCTGATCGTGGAGATGAATATTTGAGTTACGAGTTTGGTCTTCAATTAAAACAATGTGGAATAGTTTCACAGCTCACGCCACCTGGAACACCACAACGTTATGGTGTGTCCGAATGTCGTAACCGCACTTTATTGGATATGGTGCGATCTATGATGTCACTTATTGATTTACCATTGTCGTTTTATGCACTAGAGACAGTTGCATTCACGTTAAAAGGGCACCATCTAAATCCGTTGAGATGACACCATATGAACTATGGTTTAGCAAGAAACCCAAGTTGTCGTTTCTTAAAGTTTGGGGCTGTGATGCTTATGTGAAAAAAGTTTCATCCTGATAAGCTCAAACCCAAATCGGAGAAGTGCGTCTTCATAGAATACCCAAAGGAAACTGTTGGGTACACCTTCTATCACAGATCCGAAGGCAAGATATTCGTTGCTAAAAATGGATCCTTTCTAGAGAAGGAGTTTCTCTCAAAAGAAGTGAGTGGAGGAAAGTAGAACTTGATGAGGTAATTGTACCTTCTCCCTTATTGGAAAGTAGTTCATCACAGAAATCAGTTCCAGTGATTCCTACACCAATTAGTGAGGAAGTTAATGATGATGATCATGAAACTTCAGATCAAGTTGCTACCAAACCTCGTAGGTCTTCCAGAGTAAGATCCGCACCAGAGTGGTACGGTAATCATGTTCTGAAAGTCATGTTACTAGACCATGATGAACCTACGAACTATGAGGAAGCGATGATGAGCCCAGATTCCACGAAATGGCTTGAGGCCATAAAATCTGAGATATGATCCATGTATGAGAACAAAGTATGGACTTTGATTGACTTGCTCGATGATCAGCAAGCCATGTTAAATAAATGGATCTTCAAGAGGAAGACGGACACTGATAGTAGTGTTACTATCTACAAAGCTTGACTTGTTGCGAAAGGTTTTCGACAAGTTCAAGGTGTTGAATACGATGAGATTTTCTCACTCGTAACGATGCTTAAGTCTGTCCGAATCATGTTAGCAATTGCCACATTTTATGAAATCTGGCAAATGGATGTCAAAACTACATTCCTTAATAGATTTATTAAAGAAGAGTTGCATATGATGCAACCAGAAGGTTTTTGTCAATCCTAAAGGTGCTAACAAAGTGTGCAAGCTCCAGCGATCCATTTATGGACTGGTGCAAGCCTCTCGGAGTTGGAATATACGCTTTGATGAGTTGATCAAAGCATATGGTTTTATACAGACTTTTTGAGAAGCCTGTATTTACAAGAAAGTGAGTGGGAGCTCTGTAGCATTTCTAATATTATATATGGATGACATATTGTTGATTGGAAATGATATAGAAATTCTGGATAGCATGAAAGGATACTTGAATAAGAGTTTTTCAAAGCAAGACCTTGGTGAAGCTGCTTACACATTGAGCATCAAGATCTATATAGATAGATCAAAAGACGCTTGATAAGATTTTTCAATGAGTACATACCTTGATAAATTTTTGAAATAGTTCAAAATGGAACAGTCAAAGAAGGAGTTCTTGCCTGTGATGCAAAGGTGTGAAGTTGAGTAAGACTCAAGACCCAACCATGGCAAAAAATAGAAAGAGAATGAAAAGTCATTCCCTATGCCTCAGTCATAGGTTCTATAAAGTATGATATGCTATATACTAGACCTATTGTATACCTTGCTCTGAGTTTGGCAAAGGAATACAATTTTGATCTAATAGTAGATCACTGGACAGCGGTCAAGAATATCCTTAGTAAGGACTAAGGAGATGTTTCTCAATTATGGAGGGTATAAAAGAGTTTGTTGTAAAAGTTACATCGGTGCAAACTTTTACACCAATCCAGATGACTCTAAGTCTCAATCTGGATACATATTGAAAGTGGGAGCAATCAGCTAGAGTAGCTCCGTGCAGAGCATTGTAGACATAGAATATTTGCAAAATACATACGGCTCTGAATGTGACAGACCCGTTGACTAAACTCCTCTCATGAGCAAAACATGATCATACCTTAGTACTCTTTTGGGTGTTAATCACATAGCGATGTGAACTATATTATTGACTCTAGTAAACCCTTTCGGTGTTGATCACATGACGATGTGAACTATGGGTATTAATCACATACAGATGTGAATATTGGTGCTAAATCACATGATGATGTGAACTAGATTATTGACTCTAGTGCAAGTGGGAGACTGAAGGAAATATGCCCTAGAGGCAATAATAAAGTTATTATTTATTTCCTTATATCATGATAAATGTTTATTATTCATGCTAGAATTGTATTAACTGGAAACGTAATACATGTGTGAATACATAGACAAACATAGTGTCACTAGTATGCCTCTACTTGACTAGCTCGTTTATCAAAGATGGTTATGTTTCCTAGCCATGAACAAAAGAGTTGTCATTTGATTAACGGGATCACATCATTAGGAGAATGATGTGATTGACTTGACCCATTCCGTTAGCCTAGAACTTGATCTTTTAGTATATTGCTATTGCTTTCTTCATGACTTATACATGTTCCTGTAACTATGAGATTATGCAACTCCCGTTTACCGGAGGAACACTTTGGGTGCTACCAAACGTCACAACGTAACTGGGTGATTATAAAGGAGTACTACAGGTGTCTCCAAAGGTACATGTTGGGTTGGCGTATTTTGAGATTAGGTTTTGTCACTCCGATTGTCGGAGAGGTATCTCTGGGCCCTCTCGGTAATGCACATCACTATAAGCCTTGCGAGCAATGTAACTAATGAGTTAGTTACGGAATGATGCAGTACGTAACGAGTAAAGAGACTTGCCACTAACGAGATTGAACTAGGTATTGGATACCGACGATCGAATCTCGGGCAAGTAACATACCGATGACAAAGGGAACAACGTATGTTGTTATGCGGTTTGACCGATAAAGATCTTCGTAGAATATGTGGGAGCCAATATGAGCATCCAGGTTCCGCTATTTGTTATTGACCGAGAATAGTTCTAGGTCATGTCTACATTGTTCTCGAACCCGTAGGGTCCGCACGCTTAAGGATTCGATGACAGTTATATTATAAGTTTATGAGTTTTGATGTACCGAAGGAGTTCAGAGTCCTGGATGAGATCGGGGACATGACGAGGAGTCTCGAAATGGTCGAGACGTAAAGATCGATATATTGGACGACTATATTCGGAGTTCGGAAAGGTTAAGAGTGATTCGGGTATTTTTTGGAGTACCGGAGAGTTACGGGAATTCGCCGGGGAGTATATGGGCCTTATTGGGCCATACGGGAATAGAGGAGAGAGGCCGAAAGGAAGGAGGCGCGCAGCCCCTCTCTGGTCCGAATTGGACAAGGGGTGCGGCCCCCCTTTCCTTCCTCCTCTCCCCCTCTTTCCCCCTTCTCCTACTCCAACAAGGGAGGTGGAATCCTACTAGGACTAGGGAGTCCTAGTAGGACTCCACACTTGGCGCGCCCCCTCCTAGGGCCGGCCTCCTCCCCCCTTGCTCCTTTATATACGGGGGCAGGGGGGCACCCCATGACACAAGTTGATTTACGGATCGTTCCTTAGCCGTGTGCGGTGCCCCCCTCCACCATATTCCACCTCGGTCATATCGTCACGGAGTTTAGGCGAAGCCCTGCGCCGGTAGAACATCATCATCGTCACCACGCCGTCGTGCTGACGGAACTCATCCCCGAAGCTTTGCTGGATCGGAGCTCGGGGATCGTCATCGAGCTGAACGTGTGCTGAACTCGGAGGTGCCGTACGTTCGGTACTTGGATTAGTCGGATCGTGAAGACGTACGACTACATTAACCGCGTTGTGCTAACGCTTCCGCTTACGGTCTACGAGGGTACGTGGACAACACTCTTCCCTCTCTTTGCTATGCCATCACCATGATCTTGCGTGTGCGTAGGTAAATTTTTGAAATTACTACGTTCCCCAACAATTAGGACAAAAGAAGAGAGTCTGTAGGGGATGAAAAAGATGTAGAGGATGGAAAAGATGTAGGGAACAATACTAAGGAAGCAACCGGCCCTGGGGCTGCCGGTCAACTGACTGGCGAGCATGATATCGCCCGTCAGGAGCCATGAAAATAATTAGCTGGAACTGCCGAGGTCTGGGACAACCTCGGACAGTCCAAGAGTTGGTGTGCCTCTCAAAGACACACTGACCCAACATTATTTTTCTTTCTGAAACAAGGAAAAATAAAGAGTATGTTGAGAGTTTGCGCTACCGCTTGGGTATGAAAAATGTGTTTGTTGTTTCTTTGCCAGGAAAAGGTGGAGGTGTTGCAGTTTTTTGGGATGACCTTTATACTCTGCAGCTGAACAAATATGGTGAACATTTTACTGATATGTACATTTGCAAAGAAGATGGCAGTAAATGGAGAAGTACCTTTGTCTATGGTGAACCAAGGGCAAGCCAAAGGTATGTGATGTGGGAATTGTTAAGGCGTATTAAGCCGCTTGGGAACGGACCATGGTTTATGGTTGGTGATTTTAACGAAGCTATGTGGCAGAATGAGCATTTTTCTCGGAATAAGCGGTCGGATAAACTTATGGCAAATTTTCGTGAGGTTTTATCGGAATGCAATTTATTTGATTTGGGATTTTCGGGTGTTCCTTGGACTTACAATAACAAGCAGGAAGGTCACAAAAATGTGAAAGTGCGTCTTGACCGTGCGGTGGCTTGTCCTCGGTGGTCCTCCATGTTCCCTAATTGTACGGTCCAACATATTATCAGCTCAAGGTCGGATCATTGTCCTCTTCTTATTCAAGTGATAGGAGTTCCTCGTCCCGGGATGCTTATTAAAAATCTGAGATATGAAGCGTACAGGGAGAGAGAGGCTGGGGCACTGAATGATCAAATTAAATTGGTTTGGAATGAAAGTACGCATGTCAATGACCTGGGAGATGTGGCAAATAAGTTGGACAGTCTTATGAAGTCCCTTCATGGGTGGAGTAAGGAACATATTGGTTATTTGCCCAAAAAGCTTGAAACCGCGCGAAAGAGATTAAATTTGCTCTTCAAAAGAAATGACCATACTGCTGTTATGGAAAGGAAGAAAATCCTGGCGGAGATGGATGAACTTTTGATTAAGGAAGAAATCATGTGGAAGCAGAGATCTTGTTTGGACAAAATGAAATGGGGTGATAGGAATACAAAATTCTTTCAGCTAAAGGCCACATGGAGAGCTAAGAAGAATAATATCTCGGCCCTTAAAAGGAGCGACGGGTCCCTCTCTCATGATGTGGACGAGATTAAAGGTATCACAAACTCTTTTTTAAGAATCTCTACTCTTGTGACAAGACAGTAAACCCTTCTTATATTATCGCTCTTGTGAAACCTCTGGTGAATGATGAGATGAATGAGGATCTTTGTAAGCCTTTTTCTGAACAAGAGATTAGTGATGCGCTCTTTCAAATTGGTCCGTTGAAGGCTCCAGGGCCAGATGGGTTTCCAGCTGGCTTTTTCCAGAGGAATTGGGGTTTGCTAAAGGAAGATATTGTTCGTGCAGTTCAACAATTCTTTATATCAGGATGTATGCCGGAGGGGATAAATAATACAACTATTGTGCTTATTCCGAAAGTGAAGAACCCCCAGTCGATAAAAGATTTTCGGCCAATCAGTCTATGCAATGTCATATATAAAATTATCTCCAAGTGTCTTGTCAACAGACTGAGACCTCTGTTGGACGGTATGATTTCTCCAACCCAAAGTGCGTTCATCCCTGGAAGATTAATTTCTGATAATGCTCTTATAGCTTTTGAATGTATGCATTCGTTGAGTACGCTAAAAGACAGTCGAGGTGAATATTGTGCGTACAAGCTGGACCTAGCCAAGGCATATGATCGTGTAGACTGGAGGTTTCTTGGAAAGTATGCTTCGGGCATATGGTTTTGCTCCAGTGTGGGTTAAGTGGATTATGATCTGTGTGACGTCAGTGAAATTTTCTGTATGGTTTAATGGCCAGTTGTTAGATTCGTTCCAACCTTCTTGTGGCCTCAGGCAAGGGGATCCTCTATCTCCTTACCTTTTCCTATTTGTGGCTGAGGCTCTTTCGTTGTTACTCCATGATGCTACGGCGAAGGGGGTTATTCAGGATTTTCGGCTGAAGAGACATGCTCCAGGGGTCTCACATTTATTATTTGCGGATGATAGCCTCCTATTTTTTAAGGGTTCTTTGGAGCAAGCTCTGGTCATTAAACGGATTCTGGCTGCTTATGAGGAGGGGACGGATCAATTGCTAAGTCCGGATAAATGCTCCATTTTGTTTGGTAAAAAGTGTATCCTGGAAGATCAAGTTTCTATCTTGGTGGTTCTTAAAATCACCTCTGATGGTTTTGAGGATAAATATCTTGGTTTACCTGTGCCGGAAGGGCGGATGAAGGCTGGTAAATTCCAATCTACAAAAGATAAAGCGCTTAAGCGGGTTTCAGACTGGATAGAAAAATATGATTCTAGTGGTGTGAAGGAGCTCCAGATTAAGTCAGTCGTTCAGTCTCTTCCGGTCTATGCCATGGGGATTTTTAAATTTCCTGCTTCTATTTGTGAAGAGCTATCCCAAATCATTAGGAATTTTTGGTGGGGTGACCAGGAGGATAGGAAGAAAACTCATTGGCTAGCATGGGATAAGTTGACAAGACCCAAAGGAGAAGGAGGTATGGGCTTTAGGGATTTGAGATTATTTAATCAAGCGCTTTTGGCGAAACAGGCTTGGTGATTATTGGTCTTTCCGGACTTGTTATGTGCAAAGGTGATGAAAGCAAAGTATTATCCTCATGGGCATTTGCTAGACACTGTATTCCCTCAGGTGACATCGACTACTTGGCAAGGTATTATGCATGGTCTTGAGCTGCTGAAAAAGGGGGTCATTTGGAGAGTTCGCGACGGTGCAAATATAAATATTTGGAGAGACAATTGGCTTCCTAGAGATTCGGGGCTTCAAATTTCAGCAAAAAGGAACAGAACCAGACTCAAATGTGTGTCTGAATTATTCATTAGTGGCTCAACAAGATGGGATGAGAATCTTATTCGGCATCTGTTCTTTCCACATGATGCGGACGAAAATTTGAAGTTGCGTGTTTTGACTGTCGGTGATGGAGATTTCATTGCTTGGCACTACGGAAAAAATGGTTTATTCTCAGTTAAAAGTGCATATAAGTTGGCGCTCAAACTTAAGGACTCTATGATTGAGTTAGGGAGTTCAAGTGGTGCTACTAATGGGGAAAGGAGGCTATGGAATATTATTTGGAAGGCTCAGGTCCCTCAGAAAATTAGAATTTTTGCATGGCGTGCTGCGACACAAAGTTTGGCGGTTCAAGTTAACAGAGTTAAACACCACCAAACTACCATTGGTCTGTGCTCGATTTGTGGCATAGAAGATGAATCTGTATTTCATGCACTGGTAAGCTGTCCTAAGGCTCGTGCGTTACGTTTGGCGGTAAGGGAGGTATGGAATTTACCAGATGAAGTGGTTTTCAATTTTACGGGGCCGGATTGGTTACTTGTCTTATTGGATCAAGTAAGGCCGCCGGTGCGTGAGCAAATTATATTCATGTTTTGGAGGGCTTGGCATCTGAGGAATGATTTGATTTTTGGTAAGGGAAAGGAAAAAATCTCCGACTCGGTGAGGTTCATTCAGAATTACTGGACGTCCTTCTCGTCCTGTCATCCCAATGTCAAGATGGAGATTAGCATCAAAGGTAAAGAGAGGGTGGACGGCTTAAATTTTACTAATGATATGCGAAAGAATCTTGTGACTTGGCAGGCTCCCGCTACGGAGATCATTAAGATTAATGTTGATGCAAGTTATGTGGAGGCTTTAAGGGCTGCAAGTGTGGGCGTCGTGGCCAGGAACCATACTGGAGAAGTTATCATATCGTCCTGGGATTATATTGGGGTGTGCAATAGCGCGGAAGAAGCGGAACTTAGAGTGACCCTTGCGGGGCTATATATTGGTATTACTCTCCACAAGGCCATCATTTTAGAAACGGATTGTTCTTTTGTGGCTTCTTTCCTTCGAAATGATCTTCTAGACAGGTCTCCTCTGGTGGATCTAAAGATAGAAGCTTTGAGTTTAGCCAAAATGATGATACATTGCAAGATATCCAAGATTAACAGAACGGCTAATAGGGTGGCGCACGAGATTGCAAAGTTCAGCTTTGATAATAGGTCCGATGGTGTGCTCCTTAATAGTGTTCCGCCCTGCGTGGCTGATTTTGTAGCGGATGATTGTATGAATATTTTAAGTTAATTAATATATGGGAGGGGTTTTAAAAAAATAGATCAATGTGCATCTGGAATCACCGCCTGAAAAGGTTTTCCAAATAGACCAAATTCTCTACATAGTAATCCCTGAAAATTTTGAGACGTCATTCTGCCCTATTGCGATAGATGCAACAAGGGTTCAAATTGAGAACCAAGTTGTTTCTTCTTCCCCTCTTCCTGTTGCATTATCAAGACCAATCCCATCTAAAAGTCGTCATCGACTTCTTCCTCCTACTCTGATGAGTCATCGAAAATCTTTTCCAATAGCCTCTTCATCTACACATTGCATTTTCCATTGACCTAATTCAATGTGTAATTGAGACAAAGGATAAAAGAAGGGGGTCAATCGGCCGGTTATCTCGCAGACATTGACTTTGCATGTTGGTCTACGCTACATCGAATGGAGTACCAACCCGTTATTCTGGCGGTGGGTATACGATTGGAGTGAATGGCCAGGGAGGTTTTTACCCAACATGGGTGACAACGTAATCCCTGGATCAACGCACCACCTTCTCCGACATAGGCATAGTGTCGGTTCAATATGATATTACAGTTGTCAATATGTCGCTTTTTTTACTAGTGTCGGAGTATTAGTTTTGGTTATGTGCATCTTAGCGATGCAGAGGCTTGATATCACTCATCATATTTTGTATCCGTTTGATGCTACATTTTAAGTTAATAAAAGCATCATTTATTAAAAAAAAGTGCTCACAATTTCAAAATATTTCCCCTCAAAGTATCTATACAGTATCAGATCCTTTGGTGTGAGGATGACAAACCAAGTTACCGTCCTTCTCGGGAATCATTTTTTTACAAGAGGCAACCAATAAAATCCATACGGTGACACTCAATACAGTTGTTGGCGTCATCTAAGACGGCGTTGACCAACACCTGGTTCAACTACTAACACCAACTATTTTAGCAGCCACGTGGATAATATTATTCTGAAGAGTAAATAATATGCGCTACTGCTGGAACTCAGAGAAAGAAATCATTTCGTGCCAAGAGTAGGAGGTAGGGACATGTAGCTCACCAACATGCCCAACTAATTCCACCTCCCCCCAACAAAAACTGTTTATATAAAGTCACACAACTGGAGGGTCAAAAGCATAAACACGCAGCCTGATCAGCGTAAGCAAGCAGCATCTAGCCCCAAGCCAAGAAAAAGCCTCTTGCTTTGACTATCAAACCAAGGGAAAAGATACGTCCATCAATGGCGGCGAGAGCGAGAGCGGTGGCAGCCACGTCCAGAAACAGCAGCATCCTCCTGGCCGCGGCGGTGGCACTGGCGCTGCTGGTGTCGTCGGCGTCGGCGCAGTCCGGGTGCACGACGGCGCTGGTCGGCCTGTACCCGTGCATGAACTACATCAGCGGCAGCGGCACAGCGCCGACCAAGTCCTGCTGTTCGCAGCTCGCCTCAGTCGTGCAGTCCCAGCCGCAGTGCCTCTGCACCGCGCTCGGCGGTGACTCGTCGTCGCTCGGAGGCGTCACCATCAACAAGACCCGCGCGCTCGAGTTGCCCAACGCCTGCAACGTGCAGACCCCGCCGGCGAGCAAGTGCAACGGCGGTAAGTGCTCGACAGTACTCGTAGTATTTTACGAGTTACAAGACTCAAGAGCTGCACTGCACGTATAATAATGTGTTATAGGTTCTTGGGTTGCTGACACGAGCCGTCTTTTTTTGCTTGCAGCTGGTAGTGGCAGTGCTCCTGGTGCCAGTGCCAAAACGCCGACCAGCCCGGCAGTGCAGACACCGGCCGGCCTGGGATCGAAGACGACGCCGTCGGCGTACCTGCAGGGGAACGGCGGCTCGTCGCTTCACGGCCCTGCGGGTCTGGTGTTCGCGCTCGCGGTCGCTGCCGTCTACGCTGTGTCGGCCGTGTGAGCGTCTCGGCTACTGGACTGGAGCGCTTGCTGGCCGGTGATTCAGAAATATGTTTGTTGTGTGGTACTATTTGAGTTTCCTATTGGTTTATCATTGGGTACTGGGGAGTACTGAGGTCCTGAGGAAGAATATTCCGCATGATGTAATTATTGCTTGTTTTGCTGCAGACACAATAAGAAGAGTCAATTTCACTTTTTACCTTAGTTTTGTCATTTTTATATGGATTACCCCGTTTAAACCATTTTTTCCATTTTACCCCGTTCAACCGCAAAAAAAAAAAAACTTTATGCCACACTTTACCTTTTCTTTTTGATAAGCATGTTTTGTCAAGCCGGTCATACAAGGAACACGTGGCGGTGTGGTTTTCTTGTGCGGTTGGTTTCTCCTGGAGCGCTCGCCCTCCCGCCCGGTTCGTCCTCCGGTCAAGCTCCACGCATACCCGGTCATACATCGTGTCTCTGCCTTGCAGTATATGGTAGTGGCGCAGCGTCCGAAGTGCAACCAATCCACATGGCAAGTGATGCATGTGCCGCACTACGTTGCCTTCTGCCCTCATCGTGCCGTACTTCCTCTACTTCTTTAGCTTCATGGCGACGCCTTCGGCACACATTGCTTCCGTCTTCTTGACCGGCATGGCAAGCTGTCGCGGCACGTACTTGAAGGCCTGTTTTTTTTTCTTTGAAATGAAAGGTAGATAGACGGAAATTGCTAGGCGTGGACGAGCTCGTGCGCTCCTGGTATCGCAAGGCGTTGATTACGTTATGGGGATGTGGGTCGTATGGGGTACGCTGGCGTATATACCGAAGGCATGACTGGACGGCCGTTGGGTTGCGACGGCGCAGTTTTTATATGCGAAGATGTACTACCTCCGTCTAGATGAATAAGTCATTCGCGTAGTTTTAGGTCATCGATTTGAGCAATTAAATATGTGTTATATGTCATAAAAAGTATATCACTAGATTTCTACACGAATGTAGTTTCTAAATATATATATTTTGTCACATATAATACATATTTAGATAGTTAAATCATTGACCTAGAACTACGCGAATGATTTATTCACCGAGACGGACTCAATAAAGGCGTCACGGCGATGTTGGCCTTCCATTTACGAGCCGCGGCCCCGTCCGATGGTGGGAAGCGGCGTAGGTGGGGTCAACCAGGGCACAACTGTACGTTGTCAACCTACTTTGTTTACTGACGAATGAACTGAAACTCTTTTTGCAGAGAAAACTGTAGAACAAAGCAGAATCTAAAATACAAAATGGTGAAAACTGAGAAGACCATGCACACATGTGAAAATGATTCCTGCTGCGGAGCCCTCAACAACAGAGTTCCGAAAAACAAAACTAAGGAAAATTCGTCTCCAAAGCTATTTTTTCAACCACATGCAGAACAACTTTTGGCTTGGTGCAGGTGTTTCTCCTGTGCCCACCGAACGCCACAGTTTGAGTATTTCGCCTCTTTCCTTTCTTTGCGAGGAAGATCCCCTCGCTGTGGACATCTGCTGCTCTTGTGCCCTGGCTCCCGGCATATACTGCAGAATCACGTTTACTTCTACCACATCTCTCTACGTCCTGTGCAATTGGTGGTCGCTTGTACTTCTTGCTTTTTGCACCCCGGTCATCATATGGAGGTTTGTCCTTGCTGATGGTTGGTCGAACGGCTTTTCGTTTTCGTTCTGGAGGCTTTAATCCTACAAAATTTCCCACTGCACTTCCTTTAGCGTCACTCCCACAGCCGCTGGAGGGTGCAATTGCTGCAAGGGGTTCTTTATCTTTCTTCTTATGTTCCTGGAGACTCTTCCAATCCCATTCCATCTCGCACAACAGCTATTGGTGCCAGTTTATCCATGCTGTCTTCAAGATGTTATTGCACACTCATACGCTTCTGTATTTGCATCTCCTAGCCTGACTACTTCAAGTGCATGTTTGTACATATTTGAGTGCATGTATGTTATTGAATTTGCAAAAATGCTATCCTTCTGAAGATGTGACAGGTGGGCTGGCAGTAGATCTCTTGCGTTCTTTGTCCATCGTTTCAGAATATGCTTTGCTGGTATATGGTCTATGCCGAGTAAATCGAGGACCTGCAATAGTCATTGTGGGTATTCTTAATTGTGCTATTTGTGGAAATAGAGGCACTGTGTTATCAATAGAGGAGAACATTTTGTTACCTAAACAGCGTGACAACAGAGCAAGCCTGTGTGCTCAAAATTAGCACATTCACATATCAGTTCTGCTCCATCATCAACAACTTCCACTTACAACCCTGCACCACTTTTCATGTTTCTTTGTATGGTACCATCGCACAAAATAGGTTTTCCCTTTACTGACTTCCTCAACATTGTACTGTCCTGCTTCATGTAGAACTTCACCAAAATTTCCAAACATGGATCGTGTGCAGATATCGCTAGCGTGCAACTCCAATGGTGTGTTCATTTTCATTATTGGGGCTACCTGCAGATGTAGAGAATGCATTAGGTCCATGTTTGACGGCAGACAGTGAGGACATAGATCAAAAATTTACTATCTTTGGGCGTCTCTCCTCGTAGTTCTCACTTGCCTCTTTATCGAAAAGAAGAAGCATGTACTGTCAAACAAATAGATGCATGGGGCTACCTACTGCTGGAACTATGACTGTGTCAGTCTTCTTCTCTGCATACCTTCTCAATGTTTTTTTATAGGGCATTGATTCTGCCAGCACACGGTGGACGTCCAACAGGAGCATACCCAACACGTACTCTGCATTATCCAGGAACATGTAATTTCAGAAACAGTTTTGAATAGTGTATAATCAAAAAAATACAAGGTATCATCATTTTAAACTCCACTCCCATATTTTACTGGAAAATGGGCCCTTCCCATTATAATTTAGAGGAATAAAATTATACAGACCACACAACATTGTCATATGTTCTAACTAGAAAAACACAACCACAATTGTATACCCTTTGGTCCAGCCAGTGCTTGAGGATTGTCTTTGCCTGTCGAATGTTCTAAGCCGGCAGCGACGTGGCCGTCGCATTGCAAGTACTGTTGACATATACTTGTCTTGTCGCCGCTGCATCGCCCTCGCCACCAATGCTGGATTCAGCGGCCATGCATACCAAAGTTTGATTTGCTTCGCCTTCCAGTAAGGATTTACTGGCGGTGGGCCCGGAAGGCGAAACTAGTTACAAAACGCAGTCCACGGATAAGGTGATACTCTAGATGCAGTGACCGATACAGGTAACCTAAGTTTTGGGAATGCATTATTGAGAAACATGTATATCACAAACAGTTTTCACTAAAATATAGTCAGAGTTCTAGACTGGACAAGGTATCATAATTGTAACCACAAATCACTCCAATCTTGTCTGGGATAATCAACAGAGTCCACTATAATTCAGAGCACTAGAATCACGCAGACCACTCAAAATTAATATATGTTCCAAGTAGAAATACACACGACATATGTATACATGTTGGTCCAGCCAGGTTCTTGTGTATCATCTTTGCCTGTCGAATGCTCTGAACTCGGCAGGGCCACCCATTGGGACCGTTGTCAAATTATACTTGTACTGTCACCCCCGCATCACCCACACCATTATTGCTGGATTGAGCGACCGTGGATACCAGAGATTGATTTGCTTCACTGCGCAGTAAGGATTTGCCGATGCGAGATCCGACAGGGAAATCTATACAAAACAATCCAGTCCCCTGATAAGATGACCCTCTACCTACAGCGACTAACACTGGGAACAAAAATTAAGGGGAACAAAAACATACCTGTCAATTGGATTTGATAGGAACTCGAATCCGTCGACTCTCGCCTCCGCCATCACCATAGCACTGACCTTCTCGCCTCGCGCGGCGCTCGAAAGGATAGATTTATTTTCGTTTATTTTTCTGTGTCAGCCGCGAGGATGGACCCACACCGAAACCTACGCTTATCCGTTTGAAAAGCGTCGTTCGCGTAACGGACGTCCGCCATATAATGTAGTACTGTACCGATACGAGAGTCATGTACCAACAGGACAGGATGACAGTGTACCGCTGATCCAGCATTACTTCGCACGGACCTTGTCACCGTCGACCGCTGTTGCACTGGCCGTATCTGACGGGTCTCTACGATAGATAGAGCTCTACCTTATATATTCAATAAGGTTTGGAATGAGTCGATGTCCGATTGGCACATGAACCAGGAGCAGGCGAGCCCGTCCGCGCCATTGCCGCTCTCGGTAGATAGAGCTCTACCTTATATATTTCAAAACAGGCAAAAGCCTGAGGACCGAAGGTCTTTTACATGAAGCTCATATTTAGCATCGTGGTGCCCTAGCTATAAGCTGCCAGACAAGAGGAAGAGAGAGGTTTGAAGGCCTGTTCCTTGGTGATGTTGCCGCAGACATGACGGCCGATAACCTCCACGACAGGAGCAACTTGTTGAGTGGCCATTTCTTCCTAGTTCCTACCACTATGTTAACGATCGTAACCCACCCACTACTTATATTTCTCCCAGTATGCACACATGCCACCCCAACATAGATGCTACCTCATTATTATTTTTATTTCTTTTTCCTATATTTCACTTGCATGCTTCACCCCACTATTTATTTTTCATATACATGCAACCCATCCACATGGCAAGTAATGCATGTCTACCACATCATCAGCATGAAATCTCATCATAGTTAATTCTCACAATATATACCATAGTACAAGATTACACGTGTTGTCATGATCTGCCACAACCCACAATATATTTTTTCCCAATCTGCAACAAAGTCACGGATAATAACAAAGCGGGCTTGTAGCACCCTAAAAGCTATCTCGAGTTCTCAACACCCTCTCTCATGACTTCTTGGCATGTTGCAAAGTGAGATCTCTTGTTGCCTTTCAGTTGTTGAATTGTCTTCACAAATATGACCCATGAGGGTAGATCTCATCTACAAGATAATACCCTATGTTGTACTGGTGACCGTTGACAACATAGTTGCAATGTCGAGCTTGGCCGACGGCAAGCCTCCCAAATAGAGGAGACTATGCAAGACACTGAGGTTGTTGTGAGAGCGAGACATCCCAAGGTATGTGTTGAGTATATTGTGTACATGTATATTTATGTGTAGTGCCCAT